CCATGGAATGGAGAGAGCATCCTGAAAATTGTTAGGTAGACTCACAGAAGAAATTTTAGACGGAAAGGCTTTATATGAGGGAGACAGATTAAAATAAGAGACATGATTTGTAATAGGATGTTGAGTACATGACCTAACCTCTTTCCTATTAACAATGGGAATATCAAGATCTGAGAACTCAAGAATTGGAGCATTAGGATCAGAATTACCTAGACTATCAAGAGAGGGGAATGACTCTGGACACTCATCCAGAGAAGAAGATGGGAGTAGAGGGGGGAAAGTAGTCTCTTGCATCCAGGTGACTTTTTGTCTTCCTTTGTCCCTGACATAAACTTTACCTTCTTCATTTTCCACAACAATTGCTGGCTCAACATCCTCTATTTGTTCAACCACTGGTGGTAGTGGCACAGGAATCTCTTCACACCAAAGCTCCCCCTGAAGGGATGACTGTGACACTTGGGAGGTCGGAAAGTAAGGCTGAGACTCGAAAAAAGTGACATCCATGGAGACAAACCATTTGCGAGATGGAGGATGATAACACTTACAGCCCTTTTAGGTGGCAGAGTAACCCAAGAAAACACACCTAAGAGACCTAGGATCCAATTTACCACGAGTGGGTGAATGATTATGAACAAAAGAAACACATCCAAAGGTCTTGGGGGGAATGGAGAACCCAGAAGACGTGGACCCGAACAAAACCTGAAAAGGGGTTCGTTTCTGAAGGACTTGGGTGGGAAGATTAATCAAATAAGCTACAGTGAGAACCGTTTCCCCCCAGTATGATCGAGGGACACGCATTTCAAAGGATAGACAATGGGCCACATCAAGGAGATGGCAATTTTTTCATTCTGCAACACCATTTTGTTAAGGAGTATTAGTGCAAGAAGTTTGATGAATAATGCCATGAGTGGCAAAATAACTGGCAAGACCAGAGTCAATATATTCTTCCCAATTATCATAACGTAGAATTTTTACAACCGCCCCAAACTGAGTGCAAACCATTTTATGAAAGTTTTGAAACACAGAAAACACTTTCACTCTTGTCTTTCATTAGATATACCCAAGTAGCCCTAGAACAGTCATCTATGACAGTAACAAACCATCGTTGACCTTTTAAAGACACAAAACGTGAGGGACTCCATATATCAAAATGAATCAAAGAAAATGGAACTGAATTTTTATTAATAAAAGGAGCAAAAGAAGCTTTGTGTTGTTTTCCAAGTTGACATGACACTCACTGAAAATCAAACGCATTATTTTTCTCAAAAACAGAAGGAAAAAGGTGCCTAAGAAGTAAAAAAGAACGATTTCCTAAGCGACGGTGCCACAGCCAAAAGTCTTCGTTGGTGGATGGTAACGAAATAGATGAATGAGCCAGCTTGTCAGTCTGATCCAGAATATAGAGACGATGTTCCTCTCTACCACTATCAATCCTCTTCCTCATGATAAGGTCCTGAAAAAGACAGTAATCAGGAAAAAAACGTCACGCGACAATTCAAATCACAAGTAATACGACTCAAAGATAACACTAAAATTGGGAACATGAAGTACAGAGGATAAAGGAAAGGAAAAGGTGGTATAAATTAAACCTTTTCTTAACACAGACGAAATAGTACCGTTAGTAATACGCACTTTTTCCTGACTTGAGATGGGTGTATACTCTAAGAATAAATTAGGGGAACCGGACATATGGTCGGAAGCACCAGAATCAATAATCCAAGGAACAGTATTATAAGATAGCAATACACTGGTAAAGGAACCCAAGTTACTTGAGTTGGCAAAGGAAGAAGAGGATGCACCGGAGAAGACACTAGTAGAGGCTCGACGGTCTAGCAAGTGGCGAAGAGCAATCTCAAACTTTAAGACAAACAACCCAGAAACATCAGTAGTTGGTGAGGCAACAGGAGCTGAAGGTTGTGGCTCAACCGTGTTAAAGAGTGTGCCCAAGCATTGGCCCCTCGACCTCTAGTCTGGCTCGGCCTCTCCCTTCGAGAACCAAGACGATCGCCTCGGCCACCAGGAGGAATCCTTTGCAGCTTCTAGCAAGTCTCTCGTGTCGTGTGTGTCTAGGTCTACGACAGTAGTCACAAAAAAAATTATCCTTCTCAGATGAGAACCACGAGGCACGCGCTATCCATCTTGAGGGGGTGTAGAAACCAAGGCAAAGCAATCAGTAGTAGCAGAAGGAAGCATTGTAGAGCGGCGACTCTCCTCGTTCTGCACGAAAGCAAAGGCTTCCTGGAGAGAAGGAAGTGCATCCATGCCAAGTACTCTGCTCCAAACCGGATCATACTCCACATTCAGGCCTTCCAAGAACTTGAAGACCTGCTCTTGCTCCACAAACTTTCGGTAACCGGTAGAATCAGTGGGACAGATAGGCTTGTAATCCTGAAAGTGATCAAGCCGCTTCCACCCAGTGTTAAGGAAGGTAAAATACTAGAGAATAGTCATTTCACCTTGTACTGACCTTTTAATGGAGTGACGTAACTCCAAAGCCTGTGAGAAGTTCCCCTTCTTGGAATAAGTAGTAGCAATAACCTCCCAGATATCCTGTTCAGTGTCCATAGCCAAATAGCCCTCTCCAATCTCAAGGACCATAGAGTGGATCAACCAACCCATGATGAGAGAGTTGGTGATTTCCCACTTATCATAACTAGGGTCCGTGATGCTGGGTGCCTATATTGTGCCATCAACACACCCTATCTTCCCTCTGCTCTTCAAAAAAATAGTCAGACTCTACGACCACGCTAGATAGTTCTAACCATTGAATAGAGAAGTGGTGATTTTAAGGCCAGGGTTAAGATTATCAGTCATAGTAGAAGGTACAGGGGGACTCCTGCTATTAGGCGGCTGAGAAGGTGTTGACTCACTAGTGGAATCTACCATGGATATTCTACTAAGTAACTCTCAAACCCAGTGCTAATCGCAAGCCCAGAAGATGGTGGAGGAATAGTAAACACTATGACCACAAAAAAATTATAAAAACATTGAAAATTAAGAATTTTTTTTTTTAATTTATCAATTTTTTTTTTATAAAAAAAAGATGTTTAAGAGATGTTTAAGTGGAAAACATTATAGAAGAGAGAAGGCCGACAGAAGGAGTGTCCAGAGACTGGCCAACAAAGGCCTCGGAGGCAAGAGAGACGTCGACAGAGGCTAAGAAGGCCAGAGGGGCTGCCGACAGGTCCTTAAAAGGCCAGAGGGGCTGCCAACTGAGCCTAATAGGATCAAGGAGCCCAAGAGGACTGCCAAAGACCTGGGCAAGGGTGTCCGAGGTTTGGGTTGACTGTAGGTAGGCTGGATTAGAGTCTATAATGGCCGATTGGACTGCTGGGGGAAAGAAAGGACTGCCGACAGTGCTCCTAAGTGAAAAAGAACTGTCGGCAGTGGTGCTAAGGGGATGGGTGATTGCCGACAGAAGGGAAGAAGAGTAAAGGACGGATGGACTAGAGTTTTGGCTCTTATACCATGAAAGTTTAGAGAACAGAAAGAGATAGGGAATGAGTGAGACCTCATTCCCTTTTATATTGATAATAATATGTAATTACAAGAGTGCCATAAGGCATAAATTATGGGCCAACCCAATATATATATTTTATTAGTTTTGTTAATTTTAATAATAATGTGTGTTTATTAATTTTATTATAGGAACAAATTTGTAATTATTTTTTAATAATTTTATGACATATAATAAATAAAATTAATTATATATATTGAACGTGTCCCCAGCGTGTCGTGTCCCCCATTTTTTGAAAATTTGCGTGTCGGTGTGTCCGTGCTTCATAGTCTGTTAGGTAAAAAAGAACTAGTTATTATTTTCGTGTATCGTGTCATTGCCGTGTCTGTCTTAATTTTTTGAAAAATTTCGTGTTGACATGCCTATATCGCGTCGTATCATGTCCCTATCCATATCCTTGATTCTTAGCCAAGAGACCTTTTTCTCTAAAATTATTAGAACTTTTTATCTGACAAAGAAACTTACTAATTAAATTTGGAATTGTTGCTAGTCCTCATGGAAGATGCTATTGTTGTTTCTAGTAGTGGCTTTAGCTTGTCTAGACAGTCAATTGTAAAGGTGTTGCAATGGTGGAAAGTAGGGATTGATATGGGTTCGGGTTTTGTTTCTGGTGAGGTGTTGATAAGGCAGCAGATGGTGTTAAAATCCACCTACTCTCCACCTACTTCACCCACTTAAACCTACTCCACTAAACCTAACCCACTACACCACTACCACCTCACCTACTCCACTAAACCTAACCCACTACACCACTACCACTACCACCTCCACTTCACCTACTCCTTACCTACTACACACTCACCCTCTTCTATATATAGGAATCATGAATCATTGTAATATAAATCAACATATCAGTAATCAATAAACATCAATCAATAATACATAAATTCTTACAGATGGTTATCCTAAGAAAGCAGCAGACTGACAACACATTCACACTTTACGCAATCACGCAAAACAGGGAGAATCTAAAGATGGCATTTGTTGATTGTCCTTATATGTGAATGTGCAAGGCAAGAGGGTTTATTCAAGTGGTTATGCCGACGTGGGGTTAGAATGTGGTGGTTAAGACAGCTACGAATGTGTTGGTTTCAATGGTAGGAGGTGGTGGTGGTAGTGACAAAGGTAATGGAGGGTAGGGAATCCTTTGTTTCAGCAGTCCAAAAATCAAGAATCTGATTTTTCAACCTCAATATGTTGCCAAAAAAAAAAAAATACAGGTAGATTTGTAATCTCACAGCTTTCTTAAATGCCATTTCCCACAAATCTTTAAAACAGAAGTTCTTTATAATTTCCAAAATGTGGAGGGTAGCATCTTTAGTCTTGCCAAACCGCAGGGAAGGTCAGTGAAATTTACCCTCAATAAATTCCCTCCATAATCACAACATTCAAATGGGTAGATCTACACATGGCAAATGGCATATACAAGAAAAGGATAACTGGAGAAAGACAAATGTTGAAGAAAGCCGCTTTGAGGACTAACCTGTTGAGCTAGCACAATACGACCTTCACATCTACCAGAAGTTGCAGAGAAAAGTGGAAACGTATAATTTCTTAACTGAACAAGCAAAGAGCCTGTACTCAAAAGAATATTACTCCCGTAAAGTCGAGAAAATGGTATGTTGCATTCTTGACTGACAGGATCAAGCTTCTGTATAACCTCTATCATCCCAGCATCACCACCAACAATTCTTGTCAAGCTAACATCTAACTCTGTTGCAGAGACAGAAAAAAGAGATGTTCTGGCAGTGCTAGGCTTGAAACCAGCTTGAAACCCCATTTTACAAGCTCCTGACCCTTCTGATGGCACAAGATTCTGACATGCCTGGTAATATGAACGGAATGATTGCACATAGATCTCGTCTTTCATTTTCTGAATAGCTGAAGCATCCTGAACATCAATCTCCTCTCCGTTATAAAGAATCTTACCTTCATGATTAGAATCCTTTGTTCCAGCAGTTTCAGGAGATTGACTTCCTTTGGAAATAAGTTCATCAAGAAATTTCAACCTGACAGTTAATCCACAAGCCTCTTTCTTCATCAGCTGATAATGCTCATCAAGCCAACCCTGTAATGGTTCTTCCTCAATGTCAGCGGTTAGTTTACGTATGCAAAACTTCACACATCCAAATTTTGTTGAACTAGGCTTTTTGGGTTTTGCACTTTCTTTCTTTATTGGAAATATGAGTTCGGTTTTAGCAGCAGTGACAAGCTTCAAAGCTCTCAACATCTCCTCAATTGAATCATCAATGGCACGCAACTGTAACCTGTATGGCATGCAAATATGGACATCAAGGCCTTGAATAACCCAATCCCATGTAGTTGCTGCTTCAAATTTTGCATCAGATGAACCAGTGGAGACATTAGGTATACGTGAAATTTGCATCCGACTACTTTTAAATACTCTTGTTCCATTGAAACTGAGCATAAGACCTTCAAGAAGTACTCCTATAGAAGCATTCTCAGAAAAAATTGATTGAACCTGAACCATGGCCTCAACTCCATCTCCGACCTCAGCTGATATGTTCAGCATTTCAACATCAACAGCGAAAAGAGATTCCTTTTTGCTTTTTTTCTTATCATATTGTATTGACTCCACAGAGGTTTCTTTCTTCTCAGTAAAAGTGTCTTCCATATGATTGTCATCAAGTCCTTGAAGCTTCTGACTATGTATGAGCAACTTCACATGCAGCACTAGTTCAAATAATGCTATATGCACATCTGGCTCCCACCTGACCGTAATATCAGTAGCACTAAAAAGAGAGCAAGTAGCAATCTCTTTAAGACCACCAGATCGGCGCACAAATTTTGCATTCTGCATGTCAAACAATGACACTTTTGCATTAGGCCTATCATCATCCAAATATTCCTCATAGATAGATCGTGCTCTTTCTAGCTCCATATGTGTGGACTGTTTCTCCTTGTTCATACTGAGACTGAAATGGAAGATGTCAAGAGATACAGAATACTTCAATTTCTTGGACTCATCTGAGATTGTGGACATTATGTTTGCACTACGTGGTGTCCCATCAGCTGAGACACTAATTATAAATCGACCACCTTGAGATCCATAATTCACACGTTTGGGGTCTGCAACAACTGTGTTCTCCAAGCCAACATCACTGCTGAAGTTTACAGAACACCTTTCAAGATTAAATTTTAAAATTTGAATCCCCTTCGCTGATGGTTTGGATGAGTGCCCTCCACGGTTTGGCTGTGGTTTTTTACTAGAAGCAGATAAATTTTTCAACAAAGATTTGAAGGACATCATCATTGATATTAGTGATTCAACACGCTTTAAGGTCAAGTAAATGCCCATCCCAGTCACATCAACAGAAAGAACCACTTTATTCCTAGGAACATCTTCTTCAAGTGATTCTGTATCTTTTTTGCCCCAATCCATGCTTACTTTTGCAACATGCATTAAAGAATTCGTATTTGTTTCCACTCCAAAAAGGCTTTCTTTTAAGCATTCTTGATATTCATCAGCCATGTGCAGATTCAGTTCACCAAGTTTCATGTGCACTGAAGTGTCTGTACTCGAAATGTTATTAGCAAACACATGTGATGATTGTGAGCAACCCTGCATTTGGAAATCAAAAAGAAATATGCTGTAATAGTCATAGTTTAATTTAAACTCAGAGTGAAAATGAAGTGATAACATATGGACGACTACTACATTCATGGAACTCAGAAACCTAGCCAAAAAATTGAAACATAAAACTACATAAAACAAGAGGATTTACATCAGATCTACGAATATCAATGTTATTTAACTTGCACAGAAGCACAAAAATGCACAATAATGTAAACAACATACTAGAAAACATAATGTTTCATGCATCTACAGCAACTCTTAGAAATGGTAAGACCAATTCGGTAAAATAATACTCCCTCCATCCCACAATGTTAATGTCACTATGACAACAAACAGTAATGTAAATGTCATGTCTCCATGCTGCAAATCTGGGAAGCGCTAATGATGGAGTTGTCAATATGTCAACTTTTTATCCCCTAACCTCTATTCTTGAACTAAAAATCAGTACATTGGAATATTGAAGGCAGGAGCTACTGCTGCCTGCACGGAAGTTTACATTTTGGCAGTGAAAAATTGAGCTACCATTAGCTAGAGAACTATGAATTACTTATTTTCAGTCTCTGAGATATGGGATCTGAAATAGAGCCTTCCACATACATACTAGTTAAAGGTTTTTCATCTACACATGGGATAGTATAGACAGCATGATACAATACTCCAAATGAAGGGACAATTTCGTAATACCAAACAACAGTAATATATATATATATATATTCACTCTCCCACAAAGGCAGGAGCTACTGCTGCCTGCACGGAAGTTTACATTTTGGCAGTGAAAAATTGAGCTACCATTAGCTAGAGAACTATTAATTACTTATTTTCAATCTCTGAGATATGGGATCTGAAATAGAGCCTTCCACATACATACTAGTTAAAGGTTGACTGCAGCCTTTCAGGGTTAGAATTTCCATCTTGAAGCACCATTTTCTTCTTTTTTGAGGACTGCAGGTGCATCCATGGCTTTAGTCTGCTCATTATGATGTTGCACTGAGTACCCCCAAGCTTAACTTCAATTTCAGATCTGATAGGCGAGGTAGGCTGGAAAGTAAAGCATCCTAAATAAGAAAAAAAAAAAAAAGTGATGCAGAAAATAATATATCCAAAGGTTGTTCAAAAGTTAACAACCATATAGCTAATATGTACATGTATACTGATAATAGTCCAAATAGATAAAAAAAAATCACATTGGAGTCTAACAACTAAATTATTTGATAGCTGCACTGAGCTGTGACTATAATAGATTTTTAATGTTCCTTTTTAAACACACATCAATAGCATAAAAACCAGGCAATTAAAATCTTTGTATATACATCTATTCAATATTCATTTTTCATTTTATTTGACTCAATTCAAAGTTTAATTAAATGAACTACGTAGAAGAATTACACCTCATTGTCAATTTAGGGAACTTTTTCCTTTTAACCTTAGATGGTTTTAGTAGACAAGCAAACAAAGAAGGTGATGCAAGCTCAAGTGCAAGTTCCCATAAGGTGCAGCTCCATTATTTCTTACTAAAGTTACATTCCATATATTCAGTTTTATTTCTACTAATTATAAACCCTTTTGACTCGAGTGTTTTTTGCCAAATTTTTAATTTAGTGTTAATTCCTTTCTTAATGTCATCCGCCAGAACAATATCATATGCTAACAACATAAGCCATGCTAACAACATTTCATCGACTAGAACAATATCATATTATCAGACAACTTATATCCACGTGAAAAGCTGGCGGCTTCCTAGTAACATAAATGAAGTCAAGTGTCAGGTTGCTAGTTTAGATTGCTGAAAAATAAATTTTCTCCATGACGCTCACATCAAATTTCAATTGGCAAAGGTCTGATGCGTAAAGAAGAAAAACATATTGCAAGTTGGCAATAGATATGCTGACAAACCTGTAAAGGAATGTAAGCTGAAGAACCAACATCAAGTTTTAGTATCTCCACGACAGAGATGCTAGCTTCTCTATAAAGCTGTAATAGAATAGAGAATCATAGTGAAGAAACGATCAAACCACAGCACAAAATTAATTTATGACACCAAAATGATCTAAGGGCATTAAAAGTTATATCCTTACATGAATCTCACTGAAATCCATTTGAATATCGAGACGTGTACTCTCCCCCACATCTTCAATAGACCGAGATTTGATGCTTTTAACTTGAATACCCATGATGTTATTCTCAACAAGAAGATCATGTCCCCTATGCAAAAAATTCACATCCAACTTGGGCAAATTGAAGTATAACTACAAAACAAACACAATAAATTTGTCAATTACCTTTCACACCAGGCAATAAATTTTGGAAATCATCAAATCAGCAGCCTTTGTGCTGAATCCATAGCCCTATCTCTCACATGAGTGAGTCCACACATTGGGAGAGAGGAGACTGTGGAAATGGCCATTAAGTCTGAAGATTAAGCAACCTTGCAAACTTTCCATGCTTATTCATATATATATATATATATATTTCAATGCAACATCAACAAGGAATATTTAGCATAGTTTGCAGATAATGCAAATACAGAAACCATTACTAATATTAGAAATTAAGAAAGAGGCTTTGTTATTTGCCCTTTACCTGGAATACAGTATAGGAAATGTATGAATGAATAAACAGTTAAACCAATTTGCTTAGAAGGTCACTAAGATAATTGTACAATTTATGTCACAGTATTTATATTAAAAAAACTACTGGGGGTTCCACGTAAGTACAATCCTAAACTGACGTGAGCAACCAATCAATGTCAAATGGATTAAACCAGCAAAGAGAATGCGTTCGGCATAGCCAACAGCCCAATCAGGCAGTTGGCAAGAAAGTATTATCAATATCAACCATCAAGTAACACCACCAATCTATATGCAAAATGTTCGACTACTTCCACCATGCATAGAGCTCAATGTGTAAGTGTCTCATCAACCAATGTCTAGTTTTTAAAGCCGATAGAGATGCCAACATTTCGATTCTAGTCAATTTGAGCTATACCACACCTAAATTAAATGTCAATCCTTTTTAGTCCAGGTTTAATAACGAAGGGACCAGAATTCACCATATAAACAACCCCTTACCTTCGAGGTGCCGATTGATTACTGTGGGCAGTCATAGGCAGCGTGGGCAAACTGCAGGCCCACTAGGAATAGCAGCGAGGGTGGAGTCTCACAGCAGTGAAAATAAATGGGATGGAATTGTATAGTGTATATCAATGGAAAGAATAACCTCCTTATATAGGCCGACCATGGGGAAAACCTTGATAATGGAATGTCGGATGTGCTTACCAATTATGTAGATGGAGCATTGCATCATGGTTCCACATGAAAGCATCTCTCCCTTGTTGCCCTCGACTGGTTAGAACCCACCACAGAGTGGTGAGCCAAGCAACTCTAACAACGCACCCCAACTCTAGCCGACAATTCACAAGTCCCTAGTGATCCCGTTAATGGGTCATATCATAGGTATGCTCGGGGCATCTTCATGACACCAACCCCCAAACCCTAGAGGGGCCTTTATGCTAACAATATAGCATCAGGATACAAATCTAGAGAATTATAAAGATGCCTAGCTTGAGGATAGGTAATTTCCGCTTGGACGAGCTAAGGAAGAGGGTCGAGCCAGGTCTAGTAGATGCTTCATAGGGAATCACAGGAGAAGAGAACAAGATGTAAGGGGACACATGCCCCTAGTGGAGAATCACTTGGCCAAGACAGGAGGATACCAAGCATTTTGCTATCTAGCAGAGACTCATTGGCCTGGTCAAATATAGGCCTCCTTGTGGAAGGGCCTCATTGCCTAAGTAAGCAGGTGCAAGTATAGGCACGGGTTGAGGAGGTGGGGTAGTTAAGCCCCAAGAGTCCTTTGGTACGATAGGAAAGCCTCCATCATGTATTGTATAGTGGTGAGGTAGCCAAGGCTTTCAACTAAAGAGCGGAGTTGATCAAGCCCTACCTGTAGAGTAGCTGAGGTTGCGAGAATTTCTCCTTCTAGGGGAGAACTTTGAAGATGTCTGGCTCACAAGTAGATAATTCTGCTCAAAGCAGATGGAGAAGGCAAAGTCTTCTCTTGGAGACGCTCCTTGGAGAACCATTAGAAAAAAGAATGAGGCAAAGGGGAGTGGGTAATAGAAATCGCTTGAAGAGAATTTGTGCAAGTGATGGACATTGAGCTGGCATGAGACCACCAGAGGGGGAAAAGGAGAAAGGCAAGGCAACATTAGATAGAGAGACAGTGGCAATGGAGAGTGTTCACGTGTTTTCCAAAGAAGATATCTGATTTGCTTCTTGTTCTACAAGCATGGGGATGACTCATTTTATAGGTATGTTGAACCATAGAACACAGTTCAGCCAAGATATGTGGTTCAACCTCCATGGTTCGATAATTCAAAAATTTCAACCACCCACTGCTATGGTTGTCTTACGAAGACAACAATGGGTAGGTATTATAAGCATGGGAAATTGTATCATAAGATCTATAGAGATAAATATGATACGTTGTTGAAGATATCACATATCTTAGTCAAAGCCCCACTCTCTCTTAAGCTAATCAAGATCAGACCACCTTAACGATCCCTTGACTCTTGCCTCTGGGCCACAATCCTCCATTGATACCAAGTTTATGCCTTAGGCCCAGCTCCTAGCCTATGTAACATTAAAGGTTGATTGACATCTCCAGGGATAGGTTGAGAAGCTAAGACCTTGAGAACAATGCGTGGAGATGACATAGCTTCACCATGTGACAAAGATTTCTACCTACAAGGGGAATAGGCATTAGTAGAGAATAACTCAACTGAGTCGAGGGGGTACTTAGAAAGTCACTCTTGAGCAGATAATCATTGGCCTCATCAAGTAATGCTCTAGCCACAACTCATAGATACCTTAGGATGCCCTATGCCCTGCGTGAGCAATGATACAATTGAAGGCAGTTGTGAGTTCTTTCCTTGGCGCCAAGACTCAAGTTTAAGGTTCCAATAGTAAGAGATTGCCATGCTAACCATCCTTGGTGTTGTATCTTCACCCGCTTCAACAAGGCTCATGGCCCCATCATTCACTACGGAGATGACATAGCATCATTATTGCTCGCCATGCAGAGATTCATGTGTGCATAAATGATGGTGTGTGGTATGTGGTGCTAATGAGACTTGCCTCGCGGTAGTAGCTCAATATAAATACCCACAATTACCTACTAGTCACATTTTGAAATCTTCTAGGTATGTCTTCAATACCAAATGAATATAAACTCACAATCGTGTAAAATGCCTAAAATAAGAAGAAAAATGAAATGCACAATAAGCCATGTAATGACAATTTGAGCTTACTAACCTTCTCTGGGATTATAGAAGCATACTTTGTCACAGACAAAAGTGTTGCTTGTTTTTTCTGTGGCTTTTTAGCTAGGCTAGATTCAACACTGGACTCTACAACTTCAGCAGCATGAGAAAAGGCATCAGATGAACCCTTTGTTTTAAGAAAAAGTTCCTCATTTAAGTTTAAAGTAACTTCTCCACTCGTAATGTCCACATTTTTAATAACTACACCTGCTTCCCTGCAGCCAAAAGAATTGAACACAAGAAGCTCAATTGAAAAACCTAGCACTATTAACCACAGTTAAACAACTCTTTCTTTCTTTGTTTTTTGTTCTTTAGTTGTTAATTTACTTTTGGGAGGAGGAGAGTAGATGAACATAATTTCAAAATAATACAATTTTAATAGCCAACAGAAAGAACTACATAGAAGATACAATTCCAGCTCAATGATAAAATGTGGTCATGTTCATCAATTGACAATCTAGGCTCTAGAGTCAAGACTTTCAAAACCAGAAAGATGCCCCAAAAGTACGGGTCTATGCCTATTTCCACAAAAAACATTTTCTTTCCTTTGATGCCAATATGTTATAAAGGCAAATAACTCCATTGTTATGTTTCCGCATCAAAGTGGAATACAATAATTATGTGAGAATTATCATCTTTTACAAATAAACAAAGATAAAGCATGACTTCAATCAGACACTACCAAGCCTAGATTACAAGCAAGCACATAGATTCACAATTTCAGTGAAAACCATTCAATCTAAATGAATAGATCACCTTCGTAGTTCCATTCTAATATTTTGATAAGTAAAATTAATCTATTATGGGGCACAAGAGACGCGACCGATGTACACACAAGCATATGCTAAATATAACCCTTTACAACTATATTCTTCTATCAATCAACAATGTACAGATGGCTCTACCAAAACTGAATCTACAAATGGCTCCACCAACTCTACCCTTTTTCCAAATAGCAGTTCTCAATAGTTCACTAACTAGTGTAAGAATAATAAACTCAATAAAAGTCAAAACGAATAGTCTTCCACATCATTTGTTACTTCATCTCCCAATTTATATTAGAAAACTATCTTACATCATATAATCATTCTCCACACCCATCCGCTAAATTAAAGCTTCTCGAGCATTTTAATTTAGAATTTTGTTTTTGGATAAATTATAAGGCATTTTAATTAATACCAGCAGCCATATCAAATTGGTCATGCCTTTAACACATAAAGAAACCCACCAAAAAGATTTCGCCACATTCAAAAGGGAATATATGTGGCCTATCAAGAGAAGAAGGCTCAAGGTTAAAATTAGGTGGCAAGGAACGAACTAGCCCACAACACCACCCTAAAAGATGGCTTTGTACCAAACCCCAATTTTTCTAGTACACCATTACTTAGTTCACACACAATTTTGACACTTGATTTTTTTTGCTCAATTCATATCACATAAGCCCCATAATACCATCATCTTCGACATTCAAACCCTAACCTAACCCTAACCAATCAGCCACCACTTACCTGCAACCCTATAGAGATCCCTTTTTTTTTGTGAGAAAATATAATTTTTATAGTAATTAATTGAGAATTAATTATTCCTTATCACTTGAAACGAATTGGGACTTAAGATGAAAACAGTTCAAGGCATGGCTTTTAAACACAACCATTACGTAACCGTTGTGGTGGTTACCACCATCCATTACGGCTGTTGCAGCAGTGTGATAAAAATTCACCACTGTAACGGCCGCCACAGTTATGTAAATGCCATAATGGTCGTTACATTGCCACTACAGTAGCGTTATGACAGTTGTGCTTTTATTTTTTATAATATTGTATTTAAGGCTATTTTCTCTTTTTAATTTTCTAGTTGTTAAAATCACACAAAAATACACATAGAATTTAAGTAAAAATCTTAGCTCTACATGTTTTAAATATCCAATCTTCAAGTTTTACATGACTTGAGTTGCTATCAAGATTAAGTGAGCTTACTTCTCTCTCTTTTTTTTCAAACTTTCATTACTTTTTATTTTTTATTTTTACTATGGACAAGCTTTCATTAATTTCACTTAATTCTTTGAATATTTACTTATATCTATTTCCTCTTACGCTAAATTTATTAAACAAAATTTGGATTTCATGTTATGTACTTCTATATTATTATGTCGACATTTTGTATTTTGAACTTATTTTATCGGACTATTATTTTTAATATTAAACAGACTTCATTTTTTTTCCTTATCAAGCTAGAATTTATCCATAAGTATAATTAGTAAGCAAATAAATTAAATAAATCCAACAATAGGAAACTTCTCCATAGCGACTTAAAACTAATAAAAAATAGTATATATATTGGATCATGTTTAAAAACATTAAATAAATGAAAAAACATACAAAAATCATTTGATTGTCACTAAATGTGATTCTAAAATAAAAGCATGCATATCAGTATCATTTGCACTACCATCCCTCAAATGAAATTCATTAGAGACTTTCATAACATGCTCTCATATAAAATTCAACCAATACTATAAAATCGCCATAAACTATCCAACCTAGAGTTTTTCACTATCTATATAAATAGAGCCCCTTATTTCCATCTTCGGCATTCACACCCAAATTATTTGAAATAGGACTCTACTCACTTTCTCGTTAAAATGTATTCCAAGGCTTCTGTGAGAAGAACAATTGTCGAGAAACCTTACAAACAACCCACCAATGAGATTATCAGCTTTAAACAGGTCCATAACTCTGCTTCCAAAGACATCATGAAATTATTCTCATGCCTCCCACTGGTAACTATTTGTAACACTTAGAATTGAAATCTCCCTCTTCAAAGTATAAACTTCTAAATAGGACTCTACTCACTTTCTTGTTAAAATGTATTCCAAGGCTTCTGCGAGAAGACCAATTGTCAAGAAACCTTACAATCACACCACCAATGAGATTATCAGCTTTAAATAGGTCCATAACTCTGCTTCCAAAGACATCATAAAATTCTTCTCATGCCTCCCGCTGGTAACTATTTTTAGCATTTAGAATTGAAATCTCCCTCTTCAAAGTATAAACTTCTACTCTATTCCATTCCATTTGAAAAGAAGATTATTGAAGTCATTCTTGAAATTGTTCTTTCTCACCTTAAGGGTGCTCCACAAAGGACCATTCCAATTTGACAGTTGCCCCTACAATTTATAAATGTTTAGCTTTCTCGTTAAGTATGGATGTTGTCCAACGAGAGATTAGTTTAAAATATCATCCTTAAAAATTATTACTTTCATGCATGGATAGAATTCAATACTTGGGTTTTCCCGCAAATGCAGAAATCAAGTACCGTGCAATTCCAAATCATCTACCTAACAACTTAGGTGGAAAAAAAATACAAATAAAAGACAAAAATAAAAAAAAGAGAGAAGAAAATTCATGAGTTCTAATTTCGACAAAAATTTGGAAAGAAAAGAAAATCTACCTATCATGACCAAATTCAGATGAAAGAGTTAACTCTTCACAGTAGAAAGGAGCAAATGTCTTTTCCATCAAGGTAGAGGACGCGTGGTTAGTTGAAGTGTATCCACCATGGTTAAAGTTGGATGACTGGTCATAACTAACCCGTGGATCACCCAAGTGAACAACAATGGGCAAAAGGTATAGCTTAACAAACAGAGCCGGCTTGGATCCACCATCTTTAGATATATCCACTCTTAGTTCCTTAACTTCAATAGTAGCTCTGGGCATCTGCAACATTTTATAGAATAATAAGAAAGCACACAAAGCATTACAGCATGAAAATAAGACCACTAACAAGAAAAGAATGCAAAAGGCATCTATTATAACGAATGAAGAAAGAAGTTGGTCCACGCCGGCAGATTCTCTTTCTCAGTGGCCATTTGTTTGAGTTTGAGGAGACATCGGTGGAGGTGATTGGGCATCGCAGTCTGTCCAGTTTAGGAATTTCTTTCTCTAGTCTCTTGATTGATTCCATTATTTGGTAACTCAATTTGATCCTTTGTTCCTATCTCAGGTACCAATTACATGGACTGAAAGTGAAATCACTCAAATTTGCATGACCAAAGCTGATCCCTAATCTATGAATTGATCTCATCTACCTACCTTGACTCTCAATCACAAGTTTTCTGTGTATTTTTTTAAGCAACATAAACCTTGATTGGAATGTATTGAAGTCTTCAAGAGTTGAACTGCAACTGCAATTATTACTTCGAGTGTTTGATCTCTTCGATTCATCAACGGAAGTTATGATCATGTTTAGAGGATCTTCGAAGCTTCATGAAGCCTTGTTACTCTGAATTGAAGTCAATTGAATCTACTCTAGGTTGAGTTGCCACACAAACTTAATCCTAATCGACTAGCTTTCGAACTAAGGCTTCTGGATTATTTCAAAATCAGGAATCTCATCGCTGGATTCAGCAGCTTTGCGGAGCTTTATGTTTGCAATATTTCCTTCAGCCCGAATCAAAGTTGCCCTAAGCAATTGAGGAGCTTTGTGATTTGCAAAGTTTTGAGATTTTCAATTGTGTCAGTTCATTCAATCAACTCGAGTAGTTCTTTTCCTGGTCAACTTTGTTCCAGGAGTACAAAGAGGTTGCAACAACACACCGAATCAGGTGGAGTAAACCACAACTGAGGACAGGAATCAACAAAAAGACCAACATAACAGGAAAAGAACATCAAAAGAAAACACTTCATCAACAGCAGTTACCTTCACAACCAATTCATTTATAGAAACGGACAAAAATCTTGCCATGTTAGCCACAACCATCCACTTTCCTCTGCCTGAAGAGCGTGACCTTCGAGATCTACTTTTTTGTGCGCTTTTACCTGAAGCTCTCATTACAACTTCTAAATCACATATTAACACCTGCAGTTTCGGGTCCTTAGAAATAAAACCAACCCCAAGTTTAACCAATGACTGCCGTAAGCTGACTCTGATTTCACCAACAGATACAGATTCAACAGCACCCTGTGAATTGTCAAAGTCACAACAACATGAACAAACATAATCCTATAGATGCACTCTGTCATCAGATAAAACATTCCATTAACTCTTTTCTTATACAAGTATGATGTTTAATAAAACTCAAGCAAAAGCCAAATAGTTATATCTCCAACTAATTATCGCCTTTTAAAACCAAAATTGCTTTCAGCCTTGCTAAAGGGAACCTTTTATAAATAAAAATCAAAAACCATGAATAATATGAAAGGCAAAAACAAAAAAAAGTTGACATAGATGGAAAGCTTGTACAATAAAATTTATAAAATAAAAACTCACTGCTACCAACGAGAACAGAGCTATCAAAATATTCTCACAGTCACCGTTCATACCATTTTAAAAGCCATCCAAAGAAAAAAAAATTGCCAAGACATAAACTCAACTCAACTCAACTCAACAAGCCTTGGTCCCAATTACTTGGGGCCGGCTGCATGGATCCATTTCCTCCAGTTGATTCCCAAATTAATTAGAGAGACATGATAGCCAAAAAATTAATAAAGAATGCAGCTTCAAAAGTGTTATGATGAGAAAGAATTCGCAGTGAACAGTTAGAAAGTCAATTTTTATTGGATATATGATTTTCCAATATAAGCACAATGAAAATCATGGCCTATAATTCTTTTCCCCAATGGTGTCTATAGGACTGCCAATGCTTGCAGTCAATAAAATGATATGATAAGTTGATAACCCTGGAGATCAGAATGACCTTTCTTTTCAAACATGGAATTAACTTGTCCTTTATATAGTTATGTAAATAAGTTTTTGGTCCAAAATTGGTGACACGATACACCAGAGAGGGCAGCCTCCATCACACCCATACACCACCAACCTTCAAAAGGCAAGGTTCAACTCTATGTCTCTAGTACAACTACCTAAAAAATTTAGAGGTAAAGCAGCTGAAACTAGCACCTTTAAGTCATAACTCCTTCCATGCTTCCTTCTAATGTTCCCTCTTTGACTTTCCTCTATAGTCAATTTAATTAAAGATTTGGTGCAGCCCATAAGAAGCTCAAAAAGAATAGGCTCAAAATTCAAATATGAGATAAATCACAGAAATCGCAAAATCTACATTACATGCAAAAATAGTACCTAGAATTACTTCTGCAAAATATATATATATATAAGATCGTTAGGTCATGCAGGCTCTCCGTAACAATTATGACCCATCCCTTTAGCCAACTTAGATCTTAATACAAGATCATTCAAGTCAGGTTTTATTGTTGTTGGAATAGGTGAATTCTTATAGATGCACCCCCAAAGGAACCGGACATGATAATCTTTGTCTAACCTCATAATCATTCCTACAAAAATTATAAAATAAAGCAACAATCACTGAAAACTAGATTCAATTATAAAGGGTATCAATTGAAAGCAACACATAAGCATAGATTCTCCAATGCTTACTCCAGCTCAAACAATAAAAGGAACCCGACAACTATGCAGAATAAGAACCTTTTTGAACTTGACAACAACATCTCTTAAACATTTCCATCCGCCAACCCGAAATCCAACAGACGCTCCCATAATCCGGCTTAGGATCCAAGCTGACAACCTGGATGCAAACCTGAAACGAGATGCATAATAAGTGATATGAAATCAAAATAAAACCAAATGAACTCACACCTCTTGCACTGAATGCCCATGATGATGAATATGAATATGGCAAAAACAACTATAAAAACAAGTAATGTTTAACCATGCATCAAGGATGGTAAAATCAAAAGCACCCACCAATAAAACAGAGAATGATTAATGACGATCAATAAAATAAATCCATTATTTTGAAAGAATTCATCTCAACAGATGAATGCAGCCTTAATACATATAAGACAAAATCAGATGATAAAAAATGACTATGAAATGTGGATATGGACACATTTTGAGTGGCAAAAAGGAAATAGGGGGTGCAACATGACAGCCTTGAAGTGCATGTACGTATGTGTCTACTTTTTCCTACTTGTACATGATTTTATTTTCATAATAGTTTTTAGTAGGTTCATAAATAGTTGAGATCAAAGCCACTCATTATATCTATGTTAACTAAAAAATGTCAACCACAAAGTGAGAGAATGTTCTAATATGGGGGGCGGTGACTAATAAAGCCATTAGGGGTTTGGTCTTGTAAAGATTACAATTCAGATGAGGTGTTATTTAAAGGAAATCAACAATAATGCATCAAATTAAATTGAAATAGATCTAGGGCTCCCCATTCATCCAACAATTTAACGGTGGTGGGAACTTTTAGGGCTGGAAGACTTGACATGCAATAGCTCTCTCCCATCTGCAGCATGACATACTCAGTCACCTTCTCCTTCCTCTTCTGTCCTAGAAAAAGGATCTAGGATTACAAGTCCAATAATGCTACACAAACTAAACAAATATACACCAACAAACATACCAAACAAGACACAATAATACATGCATGTGTGGTTTCACCACTTGACATGGAGCCCACCTAACATTGTGTCTAGTTGGTACATTTGTTATTATTATTCCTAACATTATTGCTAACAAGTCAGATGGCATGACAAGACAAAGAGTCTATGTCAGACACTTCAATGGCACTTCTCATAAACTACCATTGTGACCTTTGTATCGAATTTTTTAACAAGAGATTTTCAGCATTCTAGGAAATGTGGCTCAGCCTAAATGTGTCTTAAAACATCTATGATACAAGAGCAGTTCCTCTAAGGCCAAAAAGGAGGAACATCCACCTGAGCTCCACCACTAAGTGGTGTCACTGTCACATGACTAAAAAATATTCTCTACTAGGATTAAATTTGTCATTTTTTTTTTTTTTTTTTGTAGTAGTAGTAGTAGTAGTAGTAGTAGTTGAATCTTCATTAGTTTAATAAACTTTTGTTTAGTAGGATTTAGAAAATTCTTTTTTTTAGTAGGGAAGGTAATATGCTTTTTTATAAGCATAGCTTTGTCAAAACAACTAGTTAAGTTCATTAATAGTACTTCTCTACAAATCTTGCCCTTTCAGTTGTGATATTCCCTTGATTTTTTCTAGGTGAGATGCCTAGAAGGAATTCAGTGATATGCTATGGCTCATCTGTCATTCTTCTTTTTTTCCTCTTTCCTCTTCTAAATTTTGACTTTCAATGCTACTATACTGTGCATAATATTAAACTACAACCAACCCTTGTTCCTTAAACCCTAATTCCAATTACCTACTAAACATCCATAAACCCTTGATACATCTCTCGACTCGACAAGGAAAATCCAACAAAGACAACTCTTTTGGTTTTTGGTTCAAAAGCAATCATAAACCTTAAAAAACTCTGACCTATATATCTCACCTTTACACCAAGTTTACCTTACAATCATAAACCTACATGGTTAAATCCCCAAACCACTGTGTTTAGTAAATTGTATAAGTCTTGCCCAGCATCAATCTCTAAAAGAACATTGTATATATATGATATGACCAACACAAAGTAAAGAAGTAAAGCAAGCTGTACAAACTTCAATGTGTGTGTGTGTGTTGGGGTGGGGGGGAATGGGACATACAATAAGAAAGAAACAGTCGTTGTATCCATTATATACGTGACATTTCTGGAGCTTTGCTATTATAATTGTATTTGTATCCTGGTTTTTTAAGGATTTGTCATGTTATTATATCCATGTCATGTTGTGTTGGGTCCTGCATCCATGTTTATGCTACATCTCTGTTTATGCTACATCTCCAAAAATATAAAACAAAATGCTCCATGAGTCCCCAACCACCAAATAGTGCATAAGAAAATGATTTCTGATTCCCATGCCTCATATTTTTCTGACTAAATGAAAATAAGAATTGACCAATGTTGTGGTCTAAATGAAGGGGACATTTTTGTCATGACTCCTGGTCTTTAGATGCTCCTCCAAGGAAATTACTTTCTCATCCATCTCCTACGAAAGAATAATAAGCTTTGCTAAAACATTAATCCCCTATGGCCTTCCATCTTCAAACATCATCTCTAACCCTGCAAAATTGTGCCCCATAAAGATGCTTTAAATAAAATTTAAAATAAAAAGTAAAAACACTCTCATCAAATACCTCTAATTCCCAGTTTTGCACTACCTTGATGATCATAACTCCCACACCATTTCCAAATTAGTGAAATCAGAAACAGAAGCATATTATTCACCACGATAATCAATAGATCCAAGAAGCCTCCAACAATTGAACGTCCCCACATCACACATCATATTCCAAAATCTATCTCTCCAAGATCTCCAACTACCTTTCGACCACAAATCCCATGCTAAGAAAATCCTATCTACCATTCCAAATTCCTTTCAATAAACCCACACATGCATAGTTCATTATGTCCAAATTTATATTTCTATTTTTATTTCATAGATAAATTTTATGTATAAATTCCACAAGTCCTAGAGTCTTGTTTGTTTCAGAATTATTTTAGGTTTTCATACCTATTTGGATGCTAAAACTTCTAACCACTAGATTAAGTGTCTTCTAATGCAAGTAATAATTGGGAAAAAGGTCTCCCTATCTCTATCAAAATTATGGAAGAACTTTAATGTCTCCCTATCTCTACTACCACCCCAACCAGGTGATCTCTACCCTTAGTCTTCTCTTGTTCAACTTTCTCCTATACAACATTTTTTCACCCTCCCTCTTAGTATTCTTCTTCTCTTTCCCCTTTTCTATGCAGTCTCCCTTTCTCGTTTGTCATTTTTACTTCAAAGAACCCTAGTGGAGGTTAAATCAACAAGAATGTTCAATATCACCAATTATTTTCAAACATTAAATAGCATCCCCCAACCATTGGGAAAAAAATTATCATCAACCATAATATCTATTTTCTCAATTCTTCATAACTGATCCTTTCAGTTGGTTAGAATCCATTACTTGAACTGTCTCCAACTTCCCACTAGAACCTAGCCCCAACTCAACAAAGTGATGTGAGCTAAATGTAACCATATACCACTTCAAAACACAAAATTTAACAGAGAATCATCTCCAAACACAATTTACAAATGCATGATCAACGGCACAGCACTTAACCAACAAACATAGGATCTATCACAAATCTCTCTGTATTTATCTCCATTTTACATAGATGTATAGATAAAAAGCTGAATTTGATGACTTACATGAACACAAGCCATAGAATGATCGAGGCGAGTAGGAAACCAAACAAGAAGTTGACTGGTGAAGCCGCCATTTGGACTGAAAATGGGGTCGATCTCTTGGACTTGGTGTTCTAGAATCGAATCATTATCCAAAACTGATAATTCAAGTGAAACGCATTCTCTGCACATAACTTCATAAGGGAAAACAAAGCCCTAGAATTTCGATTCCTTGATAATGGAGGATCGGTGGAGTTTCTCGTGAAACTCAATTGCAACAACGGAAGTCTTCGAGGAGCAGAGATCGAGAGTGTGTGTGTGTGTGTGTATAAAGGAGAGAGAGTGTGATGGAGTGATTCGATCGGTTGTATATGCTCGGCGATCGCCAGAGAGAGAGAGAGAGAGTCAAGAAGAAGAAGAAGAGAGAAGGAAAAACGACTATTCCTTTACTCGACTATGGGTTCCTTTGGATCTGGTGTGGGTGAGTGTACGGGGAAGTACGTGTTCTGCGCATTTTGGTTTGGTGTTTTTGGGAACGTCTCCCTTTATGTGACATTATATAGCTCTTGTTTTGGTTGATGGATAATGGGGTGATTTGAGAAGTTTGTTTGTTTGTTTTTTTTTTTTTTTAATATGAATCAAAAATAAATAAGAGTTTTTTTTTATGTGTAGAAAATGTGAGAAATAAAATGATTCAAAATAAGTTAAAAGTTATGAGTTTATTTTTTATTTTATTTTATTTTGACTTTCCAAATGGCCCCAATAGTTAAAAAGTTTAAAAAAACAAAAAAATTCACCTTACCTCTTGTAAGTTCGCCCGAGACTATCTCCAATATTTACTTTAATTTGTCATTAAATTCAAATTTAATAAAAAAAAATCTTAAAAAGTGAATTTCAAATTTTTATTAAAGTGATATCAAATAGGAAAAAAAAAATAGATACTTCATCAAATGAAAGGAGATTTGATCATTTATCAAATTTTAATTATTATCGTTGGACTAGATGTCCACTTAAGGCATTCTAACAGCTTTTTTTGGTTTATGTCCATACGACTTTCAGGATATTCGCTGGGCATTCCTTCTAAACAAGTGAAGATGTAAAAAATCTGATGAAAATAACAATTTTAATATTTGAGTAAACGGCATCAAATTAAACTTTTATTAAGGCCTAGTTTGGGAAGACTAAATAAGTGTACTTTTTGACTTTTTATGAAATATGGGTTGGGTTTGAAGTGATGTATTAGAGAGGTGATGTGACTTAAATAAGATGATGTGACTTAAATAGGATAGTGACTTTTTGACTTTTTGTCTTTTTTCAATCTTCCCAAACTAGGCCTAATTATTTGTTCAAATTTGACGAAATTTTTTATTTAATGTTTTTATAGGAAAAAATACCAAATTGTACGATGTTTGAACCTGACACCTCTAAAAACTAATGTCACATCTCCAAATGATACATTATGTAATTTAACACTTTTATATTATTTAGGGGTTGTTTGAGAAGATCTAAATATGTATATTTTTTAACTTTTTATGAAATATGGATTGAGTTTAGGTTGGATTTGAAGTAATGTGTTAGAGAGATGATATAACTTAAAAAAGATGATATAATTTAAATAGAATAGTGACTTTTTAATTTTTTAACTTTTTTCAAGCACGCTAAACCAACCCTTAATATCATGTTTTTTTTGTAAACTAGTCAAAAAAATTATTTTCAAAATACTTTTTTTTTCATTATTTTAGCAAAAAAAATAAAAAAATATTAAAATAATATATTTCCAAAAGAATTCTTTACACAATAAAACTATCTCTTTACACTTTTATTTTAAATTTTTATTTTGGATTCAGATTGTCAATGTTATTTGGTCTTGTAAGGCCTAGTACAGTGGCAGAGCCAATAAACTAAATCAGAAGGGCGCTTATTGATTATAACTTTAATTTTTTTTCCATAACCAACAATAAGAAGATAATAATAATTTTTGAATTAATATCAAGTATAAAAACTTAAATAAATTATTACAAAAGTATTTTACATAAAATTTTATAATTAATTTCGAGTAAAATCGAAAAGAAAGTATTGCGTGTAACTAGTATATCATGGATAATATTAAAAAATTATATATTTAAGTATTAAAATAAATTATATAATGGTAAGATAAATCAAATTTTTACGAAATTTGAGTAAAAATTCTATATAATAATGATGTCACGTCATTATTAACATATGATACTACCAACCAATAGTAAAACATATGAAAGGTGAACTCTACATTCAAATATAACTAATACTCTAGTAATTTTTACATATGTATAGTGAGATTAATTATATTTGCATATCAATAATGATAAATATTACCTTTATACTGAGATTTTTTCATAAAATTTTCATACATAAAAATATAATTTGTTGTAGTCACTTCATTTTCAATAAAACAATCATTATTGTTTTCATAAATTTAAAAATGCCCTTGACATTTTATTCTAAACATTATTTTTGTTTAAAAGTTTATTATATACATACATATGCATTAAAAAAAAATTAAAAAAATCCATGGTGGCTCCACCATTGGCCTAACACGCGTTCAATTTCGATGATCCGAATTGTTTAATGTGTAGGTTTCGCCGAGTGCTTCATCCTTGTGAAAAAATCATATTGGTTAAAAATCGATAGTCACTTAATCAGATAAATTTTTTCTCAATGGTAAATATAATTTCAAAATAAATTATTGACAAATATTTACCATTGAAAAAAATATGATATGATCAAGTGGTTATCGATATCTGATCAATGTGATTTTTTTGAAGGGATGAAGTATTCGACAAGGCTTACACATTGAATAGTTCGAATTATCAAAATTAAACTCGTTGTGAAGTTCACGGACCCAACAGTACACTCTAATATGATTTTAAACTGAAAGCAAGCCTAATCATTTTATTTTTATTACAATATTATTTCTATGTAACATTATAATAAAAAAATTATTTAAAGCCTAAAAAATAAAATTTATTCTAAATCCCTACCACTGCCATCACGATAACACTCCACTCTTGTACTAGCCACCACTCATCTCCCTCTCAAAAACCACTGCAACCTTTTTTCTTCTCGTTACGAACTATTCTAGTTCATCTCTCCATCCTTATTTACCATATAATATGCTCGTTTGGAAACAAAAAACTCAGGATTTTTTGGCTATTTTAGCCAGAAAAAAAAAATGAAAAGGATTTTTTTAACTCAATAAGACAACAATCACATCTAACTCATAATCATTACATTTTTTCTCTCATGAAAATTTAAAAAGCCAACAAATTTATCACAAAACAATATTTTTTAACTCCAAGTTAAATAACTAAAAAATTAAAAAACTAATAAATCAACCCATATTCCAATCCATGCTAATGTCTCTTTATTCTCTTAAAATCACCGCAACTCGTTTTCTCACCTCGTGCACCACACGCTCTCTCTACCTCTATAAACCACCCCATATCCTCACCCCTCTATTATAAACCACCCAGCCCTTATTCCCGCGTTAGGATCCTCTAGAGTGATCCCCCTAGAGTGATCTCCTAAAGTAAAGGAGAAGAGTCCAACACGTGTCCCCACTTAGCCCCTGAGGGTTGAGATTTAAACTCACCAAAACGACGTCGTTTTGGTGAGTATATTTCAAAAAAAAAAAAAAATCAAATTTCCTTCACAGTCAGTCCGTACCTCCATTGCCCTTCTTGGTTGCTTTTTTACAAAGGCCGGCCATGACAGAGAAGCACCTGAAAGAGGGACGATCACTCTCCGACGAGAGAAGTTGCTATTTCGAAAAGCTGCTTAGAAGAGTTATCGGAGGAGATAGAAGACGACGAGTCATCGGAGGTGATTTTGATGCTCGGACTGTAGTCCTGTAGCAAATCCCTCGCTTCGAGCTCGCTCTCCAACTCAAAACTCTTTCGCTTCTTCATCTCCGGCGATTCAAGAACGTTCTGTGCAAAAATACATAAATTTTAGAGATTGAATGCAAATCACGAATGTAACGATCTCATCATCATCATCATCCTTTGAATTTTTATTTTTATTTATTTTTTTCAAATTACTCACCTGATCATCATCATCATCATCATCAAGGTGTTTGAATTGCTGCCATTATTGTTGCACAAGATCTAACTTCAACCTTTGAATTTTTTTATTTTTTTCAATTCACTCACCTGATCATTATCAAGGTGTTTGAAATACCTTTCTGTTGCTATTGTTGTTGCATAAGGGTGTAATAATGGACCGGCCCGGCCCATTCAGGCTTTGTGGGCTCGCGATTTTTTAGTAGGGCGGCCCGGCTCATGGGCTAAAATGTGGGGTCCAGCCCCAAGGCCACTCATAATAGGGCCTGGGCTCGGGCCTTGGTCCGCGGGCCCGGCCTAGTCGGGCTTTTTTTTAAATAATAGAAATAAAAAAATTAAAAAAAAAAATTATACTAAAGTATTTTAATTACGATTAATGAGATATTTTGTTTGGATATGTAATGTTTTATAGTGATATTTAAATTTAATTATATATGACTTATGTTTTTTTAATTGTGAACTTATAACTAAAAAAGTATGCAATTATATAATTTTTTTTTCGAAATTAATAATTTTATATATATGAAATTGAAACTTTCAATATTACAATATTAAATTATTTATAAAACATTTATTGAATGAACAATTTTTTATTTCAAAATGAAATCAAATATTACAAAAATTGATATTATTAAATAAATTAGGTGTAGATTACTGATGATGGTATAGCAATTGCATCACTATAGGTCAAGTATATCCCAACTAGGTTGGCACCTACTAGCCTACCAATCATTTGCATTATATTCCACCTCAATAATCTAATACAAAAAAAAAAAACAAGAAAAAACCAAGAAATGAAATAGTAAAAAATAAATTGTTGATCAATTATCGGAGGAGACAGACATTTCAATCGCGTTGCCCGATGATATGTCATCCAAATCATATTGAATTCGCTAATTTTCACTAAAATTTTGTCTTATTATAAACGCGTGCATATGATCCCTAGATATCATCAATGCCTCTACCATTTCGAGTAAAAGCCTGCTCTTATAGTTACTCAGCACCCGTCCACCTGCACTAAAAGTTGTTTTTGAATCAACTGTAGAAATAGGAACGGTTAGTATATCACAGGCCATCTATGAAAGCACAGGCCACATAGATTCATTTTGTTTCCACCATTCCAAACACTACCACTTATATTCCTAGATGATGATGCAACTGTTGGAACATGGATATTAGAAAGAGAATTAACTAATTCATGTGGTGTAGTATATGTATCAACATCGACATAAACATTAGGCATATTAGGATCCATAGCAACGCAAGTAAAACAATATATAAGAATTAACAATTAATTTAAATAATGTATAAATTCAATCAGTAAAAAATAATAATTAATATATATGCATAAATTTAATTAAACTAATTAATGTTATCGACTGGTGAATGCCATATAGAAATTTTCTTCTTCTGCTAAAAGTTTCTTGTTGCACAA